GTGTGCATTATGCATTTTATTCATTTCACATCTAACAATTGTATGTGTAGATCCAATCTAATGGTCCGACAGCAACGATGCTTTTTGAGGCCAGGATAATAACGCGTGCCACATGTACTTCCACTTCCTGCGTTGTTCGTTCACTGACTGTTGGCCGGTTTCGTCGATTGCGTTACGGAGCAGAGCTATCTAATTGGTTCTACTTGCTCAGAGATACTAAAGGCTTTGAAGAAGGCGAATTCGCCAAAACGTCAGCCATCGACCAACAACATCAACCACAACAACGACAACGACAACGACAACGAAGACCTGTAGCAACCTCGTGTCAGCTTAAGAAGATCAGTTTATGAGATCATGTAAATAAGTATATCAACTATCTATGCCGAGGTTTATAGAAAGTCGGTCTTTCGAGTTATTAAAGGAGGTTCCATGTTGGTTGGCAAAGTTCCTTACGACCCATGAGTGGAACTGAATTCGTAGAAACTGACCTGTTTTTAAAGCGTTATTAGTCTTTTGGACTACTATCCCGAGATTACTGCGTTATAGTGTTATTTTAGTCACTTTTTGTTTACTGCGTATTCATTTTTTTAATGGGAGGGTACGATGTGAAGTATAACCACAATGATGTCGAGACATTTGCAAAACTGTGCACCGCAGGTGTCTGCGGTGGAGATCGAACACGGTATTACCTTTCCTTGGCCTAACGCGTTCACTACCACGCGCACCATTCGTTGTCCATCGTTTCGCCTCTTTCTCAGCCGTGTTTTATAGGTACTATCAACAATCACTTATAAAACACGGCTGAGAGAAAGGCGGGACCAGATGGTGTGGGGGTGAACGCCTTAGCTCCCGGAAAAGATAGCAGTGTTTTTCATCACCACAGCATACACCTGCTATCCGGACTTTTGCAAATAATGTTATTTTACTTAGATCTTGAAAGCTTTCTGCCTTAAGGAAGCTGTGAATTTCACGCTCTTTAAATGGCGACATTCAAGGGAAACGTATTAGTCGGTCAGTACGTTTATTTACCATAGGCGAGAATGATTTCATGGGAATGTGGAACGTTCATATCGAAGACCAGTATATCACTACCACTTCATTTTTAGATTATATTTTTGATAGCTCATGGTGAAAACTCGACGAGAGCAGTCACAAAGTCATAGAGGTAACTCAGACTACTAATGATAAACATATAAGTCTAACTCATCACTTTTAATCATCGATCACTTATAACTTTGTTTGGCAAACTGACATCTGATTGATCCATGAAGAGCAAAACAATTTGTTAGTGGTGTTCATCATCTCAAACTTTCTATTTTATCTACTGCTTTTTTAGTTCATTTGTTATAGTTCGGCACTTTAAATAAGTTTGAAAAAGGCGTTCATTTAACTACAAAGAACGAATCTCAATAGATTTTAGGGAGGCCTTAGAATGACTTGACCCAAAAAAGTTTTCTTTTGACATGGTGTAGAAATTGTTCTTCCTAATTCTAAAACTAATTTCTCGTATCAAATATGATGTCACAAAGACGATTTCCGAAGATCCAGATCTTGAGGAAAATTGGTTGTAGACGATCAATTCGAATCAATGGGACTACGAAGAAGGCAAAAAAGCCCAAACTTTAGCCAAATAAGAGCTTTTATACCATTCTCGTGACAGCCCAATAATCAAGAAACATTATTGGTCATTCTTGGCGAGATTTGATGAATGCCGGTTTACAGAAATATTGATTTATCTTTTATTTATAGGGGCACTAATAACGACCATGGCTGCAAAGGTACTGTTACTGTTTGATGTGGCTGACGACCGCGAATTGAACGCCCATTCACCAATATTCATTCGAAATCAAGTAGTTCCGAAAAGGAACAAAGAACAAAAAAAAGTGGCCAGCACACTTGCCGTTCCACCAGAAGTAAAAAAATAATGATAAAAACTCGACGGATGAGATGAGAGTGCGGTTGGCAGTCATGCGACAATAACCCAACTTTTATATCGGATCGGATAATTGCTGTTGAGGTTGAATGAAACGAAATTACTTGTCGCATTTATGGCGAAAATCGCTGTGTTTTCCGCTGTCTATTTTCCCTCTTATCGAATCATTCGATGAACTTTGTCAGGTCATAAAAACTTCGAATCCGGACTGAAAAGTAGGGATAATTGGATCCATATGAGAATACGGTGGACGTTACGGTACAACTGCTACCACAAAGTGATAGGTTTCCTTATGAACGAGCTGAGCGAATTTTTGAAGTTTCAAAGTGCTTGTTCCGTAGTGACCATGAAATGGATTTTAAGTAAGGTTTTATGCATTGCATACTTGTAACGTTAAACGTTTCCTAACGACAGTCTCTTGCAGTCACTTTTTATTCAGAGCCTATTCATTTTTGATTTTATGGTATGATGTGAAATATAATCAGAATGATGCTAGGATATTTGCAAAGCACCGGACAGCGGGTTTCTGTGGTGGGGAACGAACGCGCTATTACCTTTTCCGGAGATAACGCACTCGTCACCACAAAATGCGTATCCTTCGTTTCGCCTTTTTATCAGTCGTTTTTCTTTTCTTGGAAGGCCTCTTGGCTGGTTTTACTGATGTTAGAGGGCATACTTTTGACCTATGTAGGACTTCGTGTGGCTGAACTACATTAAATAACTGAAAAACTTACAAAAAACAAAACGGTGAATTCTTCGTACTCTTACTGAGCAAACGCGAGGTGTTATTTTATTCTTTATTCACGAATAAGCTCACGTTTCGGCGGATTTCGCCTTCCTCAAAACCTGGAAAGGTCAAGTTGACAGCAATCTATTCGGCCGAACACCTCAATAACCAAACGAAGAAAACGATAAACCAAGATATCAATCACATTGAACACAGAATAGCTTCTTTGAATACTCACCGCTTTCTATGAGTCTTCCATTAAGTATGTCGCGCGGACACCAACCGCACTGAATTCACATGGAAGTGTAATGTGCCCCTCCCATCAGAATAACAGGCTTATATACCGCCCAATATCACGGGTGATAATGAGGGCATTCTTCCTTGCTGTTCATTTTCGGATTTCTGGACTTAATCCGGAACTCCTCGAGAGTTTTGTTCTCTATTCCTGTGCGAGGATCGTGGCACGTACTTCGATGTCCTCCCCATTATTTCTCTGGGTCTTATGCATGCCTAGTGGGGGATTTGGTGAATGTTAAAAAAACTGTTCACAATGTGAATGGAAATTTATGAACTAAGTCTATCTGTTGACGTTATGAAAGTATTTGGCTGAGTGGGTTGGATGTCGTTTTGACTCTTACAGGCACTGAGGAAGACCAAACCGCTGAAACGACAGCCATATTTTTCCGAATAAATGTTGTTCTTAGCAAACCCGCGCCTGCTCACCAAGAAGACAGCGGTTTGTCTCCATTTGGCAGAAAGTGCAAATGTGGATGTAGAACTGACAAGTTAAGTGGAGGCCTTCCACTGGATTTGGATCATCCAATCTCAAAAGTGCGACACGATTGAAATTTCCGTTCGGATTCCAAACTGATACCAGTAAATTACCGCCGACGTGGCAGTAGCCTAATCACGAGATAGTAAATCTCCCCCAAGAGATGGTGACTACTAGCGATTGCGATTGGGGAGTGCGCTAGCGCTGCTATGTCGAGACTTCACAAAAAATAAGCTGCCAAGCTGCTAGCTACATATAAAGTAAAGGAAAAGTGCCTCTATTAGCACGATTCTTTGTGAAAAAGTGGCAATCAAATATTCAAGTATTAGTGAAATACTTAAGCAATCGCTCCCCCATGTGGTGTGAGCAACGACGCATCTTCCATTAAATTTTTTTTTTTCGTTCAACTGTCTTCAACAGAGATAGCTACATTCGGGCTTTTTCTCACATCATTAACACTTCAAATGGTGGTTAACCATAATTTTCCATGGAATCTTGAGGCAGTTTTTCTGGAGCGGTTCCATATCTTTACGGCAAGCAAACGCAAATTTTCAGCAACTAGTTCGGAATCATACAGCGTACTAGCGACTGTGAGAATTAAGAAGGTGATGTAATAGCCCGAATCATGGTTTCCTCTATGTGCACTTAAGGGTATGAAAGACTAAGGAACATGAAAGAAAGCTCGCTGTATTCGTATTTTGTAAGTTTCGTAGGCGCAAAACATTTTGGTACACTTCTGGTAATTCAATGATATAAAGGAAATTTTACTGCCTGAAAGATCTTCTTCTGCTGCGTTATACTGTCATTGATTGAATTGATATTGGAAACCACCAAAAATATTCTTTTAAATATGAATTAACGGAGATTTCTTAAGTTCTATCTCTATGACTAAGCATGGATCTAGAATAGAAAAAATCCTACTAGGAAGGCCAGCAGTGCATTAAGTTGGAACTTAGAGAAGGAACAATCCAGCACCTACAAAACGAACTTTTCGCATAGGCGGGATTCATCTGGCGAAGTAATACTGAGAACATTGCAAAAGAAAATGTAAAGAAGGAGCTTTCAAACAATTTGTGAAAAGGAATGAACCGACAAACAGTCCTTCCTAGTAAGTTAGTACAAAAACAAGTTACCTTTGTTCTGTGGACAAGTTACATTGTGCACTACAGATAGATCAGGTGTTGCTGAAGTTTTCTCGATTTTGTTCTTCTCTTTCGTCCTGTATGAGCCATAAATGGTTCATGTGTCATGTGATAAAATGTGTGACGGTGGTATTTCGCACTTAACATTTATTGAGAAATAATTCAAGTTTGAAGATGTATGAAGAAACGTGGTCGTTACTTATTGGAAATTTATGTAATAAAAAAGTCAGTTGGTGGTTTAGTATGTATCCCTTCCCTGATCATGTTTGATCACGTAACTCGAATGATCGCTACTACTGCATTCATTGTTCTTTGTCGTGGACACCAGAAACTGACACCCGTGGCTATGGTATCTTTTTGGCATTTTCCGTGGAACTTCGCTGCCAGCTGGGTTGCCAGAAAGGAAATGCTGATGTTCTTCTCAAGTTACGTGACGCCAGACCAGCGATGTGCATCTTCGACGCTCTTAATCATTGTATTCAATAGCTCCGTCAATCTTGGACATATGCAAAGAGAACTACCTGTAAATATAGTCTATTTTCTAGAGTTCATCCTAGTCCACGTATTATTAGCATATGAAACTAAACAAGATCTGCCCTGAGTCAAGTTCCACATTTCTATTTTCCCTATAGGAATATTGACCACAAAGAATAGAAGGTTGGTAACATTTATCAACCAGCAGATTCCGATGTATACAAATTTGCTCTGAGAAACGTTGTTGCTCATATTGTTAGAATAGGTTTTTTCCGTGGATGCAGTCGTTTTTTATACGATTTCGATGCTTCGAGAATATTCGTTCGACCGTCGTCACTCTTCGCTTCATATCAACGGAAAGGTGCTAAAAATCAACAAGTCATTGAGTAACAGTCTCATCTGAGTGTCCTTAAACATCCAGGTAAAAGACAAAAAAGGTGGTTTCCTATCCAAAACTACAATTAAATTTCTTTAATACGTCCATTTCTCCAATTATTTCTATTTTTAGGACAATAGCTGGGAACCGATTGTCCAATCAGTTTGTTTACCAACATTATCAGCAACGGTCCTTATCCTAATCGGCAACTTAAAACTCTATTTAATTACTGCGGAACAAAAAGAAACAAGAATTAGGAAGACGAATCGAGAAGAAAAAACAATTCACCTCAAATGAAGCACACATATTGTTCAACTGTTTATCGAGTTCGCCGATCTGATCTTTTAGACGATTCAACTGCTCCTCTAATGACAACATGGTAATCGGCTCATCATCGGTCGATCCATCAGGGTTCTCAGCCAGTAGATTACGTGACCGTAACATTTCTCGTGCTGAATAATTATAAACCTATTCCAGTTTATTTGTTATGTGGGCGTTAAGTGAGGTTTGGTAATATGAGGTTCGTAACAAACCCATGTGATCCCTGTATTAAGTGCTGTAACGAAATGCCAGTCAAACGGTAATCCTCCTGTTGGGAATCGATAAATCCGTGGAAGAAACTTACTGACTAGATGTAGAACAACTAACTCTTAATCTAGAACAAACTATGTCGTGGCCTTTGTTTTTACTGTGGTGACTCAAATTTTTACATCACCTTCAGTTAAGTTAGTCAGTCGACTATTCATTTGCATCACTAAATACCTAAAACTTTTCGATAAAGTCACTATTTCTATAAAATAATCGCACTCAAAAAAATGAACCACTTTCCGATTTACAAGGTTCGCTAGCCACTTGGTTGCTGATTGATCTGTTGAAGATTTTTATGTCCATTGCTTATTTACTTGATACTTGAACGGCCCGTCCACACTGGTTGTCCGGACCAAGGCATAATGTCCATTTTTCAAAGGTTTGTTAGTTAAGCTATTGTGGTTCCCTGGAATCCCGAAGTCGGCCTGGGCAAAGTCTGCCTCAGGTTTTCACCATCATAGGCAGTCGCAGCCCTTGTGGATCAGAGGGGGATTTACCACCATGCAACTTTGATACCAGGATGATGGTGGATCCTGCTATTGGTTTGCTTTTAGCTAGGCTTCCTGATGGAAACGCCGGACTCCTTCTCGGTCTGGGAGACCCTGCTAGGGGATGAATTTCCCCACTGTGCATCGCAGCCCGACACTCAGGAACACCTCTTAGCCGCGATGAGGCGGTAAACCGTTAGGAGTTTATGTCCATCAGACGATTTTAACTTGCTTTTTTCCTATGTAAGCCTGTTTATCGTCGATAAGACGATGGAGACATTATATCGAGAGGTTGAACGACACTGTACAATAGATGCGGATCGTCCGCTCTGAGGAAGGCATTAGCCGAATAAGCCTTTCCATCATTCTCGTTAGCTCAATAAGCCAGGAAGGTACAACAATTCTGTTATAGCAACGAAATGAGTTAATAACCACAAAGTTCTTTAAAAGAAAAAGTGCCGCATTTATACGAAAGAACGTAATATCACTGTTCACCTTTTTTTCTTCGACTCAATACGATTTGTTATGAATCGCAAGGGATTCTTCGCTCACCATTGTTAATCAAAGTCTCTCTGTCAGACGGATAGTCCTTTAAAATCGCCGACACATCGTCCTGATTCAGTATATAGACATCCGAATAGCCTTCTGATAGTAACGATACTGTTCGACGATCACCCAACTGATTACCGGCAATCAGAATCACCGACATCTCACCGATGGTTGCGCCGTCTGTGATGGTCTAAACGTAACTTCTCCAGATACTTACTAGTAATTCATTCTGTTCGATAAATTTTTAACAATGGTCATATGTGTTTTCCTATCAAATAACCCTGATGGTGTCTACTCACCATTGTTGGCGTTGAGGTATTCTCATCGATCACATGTAATGTTCCGCGCTTAACAATGAACATCTCCTTAAATGACATCGTTGAGGTTGGTTTCGGAAACTTGTGACCAATAATGTAAAATTTTATTATTCGCTTGTAATCATATCATTATCATACCATTATCTTTATCATTAATACAATTATTGCTTTCATATGTATGTAAAGAGATGAATTGCACAGAGGTAGTGATGCCGATCATCATGAGCACAGTGCTGGCTCGATGCTGATCCGGGCTCCCTAAGCCTCTCATTCTTCCAGGGTCGCGAACTTGTACCGGAGTTGACGGGGAAAAAAATTCTGAATCCAACAAAAACGTTATTTCTCGACAGTCTCAGTATTCCAGGGAGAATCGACTCGACCAACAAGCAACGACACTTAAGACGGAAGGAAAATCCTCAAGCAGTAGGCGAAGCCACACGTAAACGTTGAAAGACTTGCGTGGATGATGGATGCGAGAAATCGAATCGAATCCGCGAAGTGCTGGAATCCGGAGGACAGATGTGAAAGGCGGGTCGTGCAAATAAAAAAAATGATGCAATTATCTGTATATGATCTGCACTCACATATGGCCGTGATTCCGGACCTATTTTCATTTGCCTTGTTGCCTTGGATTCACTGCGCACAATGGATCCGTGCGTTCAGATGTTATCAAAAAAGCAAAAGGCTCATTGAATTGGTTATTACTTAATATTTGAAAAGTGGAGCGCAGTAAAATTTTCGACTTATCTCAAAGAAGACTCAGCGAATTCCATCCTCAGATACAAAATCATAGCCGCTCCTAATAAGACCAATTCAGGAAATCCTACTGTCATTAGAGAAGTTGAGTCACAAAGTGGATTACCCACCTTCGAATCTCAAGAGCCGCTGACTGCCATTCGTGACTATGTGACATGGTTTTTCCAAAAACAGAGGAATAGAAACGGCTTTAAGAACACCAAAATGTAAATAAGCACGACTTTGTAAAGATAGTTCCCCGAGGTTGCTGAATACCAAGACGTGGTGCTGCATGACTTCATTCAGGTAGTGGACCACCAACAATAAGTGATCATCATGAATATAGGTCCGTTTTACCAAATCGCTAGCAGATCCATTCCGGACTTTATGCGAGCCAATGTATTATCTTTACTACAGCTACTTCTTGGAAAGAAAAAAAAATCGCAATATGAATAGTAGGATGTATATCATCGAAAATGATTGCCACCGGAAATATCATTCTTTAATCCACTTTTCTTTTTCTTTTCTATCATTCCATTCCTAGCCTTTCTTCTTTATTTCAGCTCTTCTTCATTTATTTTTCTAGTGTTCAATTCTGTTATCCTATTGTTCCACTACATAATAACGAGTTGCTGTTGATCTCACCTTAGCTCGTTCACCAGCTCGAAACAAGTAATCATTAGGGCTGTAGATCTGCTGCTTGATTCGCAACACAACCTCGTAAAGAAATCCCGCGCTGCATTGCTAAAGTACTCATCCTCTCTTTACAAGCAGCAAATCAATAAAATGTGGTAGATATGGTGACTCGTGAATATAGCGGCATGTCAATATTAACACAACGAACGAAAAAAAACTGCTTACTACGATTTTACTTCATTTAGAAATATCCTCACTGCCAAGGCCACTAATTGCTCTGTGTTACTTTTTGTCGGCTTTTGCCTAGTTTTTCTTCAATCAAAAACCTATAGTCATCACGACTAGACATTTTCATCGTATTTACATCTAATAAAATGTATTCTTTCTTTGATGAGCTTACACGAGACTGATAATGATATTTATTTTCGGCTAACGTTTCGACGTCTTCGTCTTCCTCGGAGCCGATGATCCGAGTCGGAAAGGAAAGTCGGTTTCGAAATATTACTACTCTTTGTGCTAGCTAATAAAATGTATTTGAACATTACCTCCCAAAGGTTTACCGCCTAATCGTGGCCGCGAGGTGTTCCTGGGTGTCGGGCTGCGATGTACAGCGGGGTATTCGTTCCCCGGCAGGGTATCCCAAGTAAAGAAGGAGTCCGGCGTTTCCATCAAGAAACCTAGCTAAGATTAAACCAATACCAGGATTCATCAGCGTAGTGGTATTAAACTAATCACATGGTGGCAAATCTCCCTCTGATCCACAAGGACGGCAACTGCCTGTTGTGGTGACAATCTGGGGCAGACTTTGGCCTGGTTGATCTCGCGACTACAGGGATTCACAATGACTAGACCAGCAAAACTCTATAAAAGTGAAAATTATGATGGAACTGCACAACCGGTGAAGACGGTCCATCCAAGTATCCATGTATTTGAATATTCAAAGATTAGTTACAATTTTAACTTATTCTTTACTGCCTACTCTTTTTAACGGCAGGGTATATTGCAAAATATAACGTCAATGATGCTGAGATATTTGCAAAACTCCGGATCGCAGGTGTCTGCAGTGGGTGGCGAACGCGCTATTACCCTTTCCGGGGGCTAACACGTTTACCACTACACCATGCGGGTCCTTCGTTTTGCGCGTCTCTCAGCTGCTTCTATCGATCAGTGCCATCAGCAATCACCCGTCAGCAAGACTGATTTGGGGAGCCTACATCGGCATTGAACCCAGTTAAGCTGAGGCCGTAGTTGTCGTTTTGCAAATATCTCAGCATCATTGAAGTTATAAATAAAAGGACGAAGGATAAAGTTTCCGGTGTTGATCAATCCCTGAGGGATGCGCCTTGCATTCGACTTCATTAAGCATCGTTTGGAGGTGATTGAATGTATATCTGACCTTTACAATGACTCGCGGTGGCCTACCGATGTATCGAGCCAGTGCTGCTTCCTCCCAGACATATCTGGTACCAATTTGCCTACCCTAGAGGGATGGAAGGCTTGGTTGGCCATGGACGCGCGGATCGATTCCACGTGTGTGTCGCAGTGGCGCCTCCAACTATGCGCCACACGCTCCCTTACTTAAGTTATACTTCGCAATATTCCCTGACATTAAAAAGAGTAGGGAATAAATAATAAGTTAAAATTATTTATGGATCATATCGTTTTTGATAGGCTAAATTACATTAAATGGTGAGCAAATCCCATATAAAGGTAGAGGAATAGCTATAAACTTCACTGACCTTAAACAGTTCCACTTTTTTCAGGGTATCCATGTGCAGATTAACAGCAATCTGACCTTGTAGTCTTGGTGGTAATACATCTAAAAGTTCCTAAAACATTTCTTTCAGTTTCACAGTGACAATGACCACTACGAAGCATTTTTAATGATAGACACTATAACAAGCGTTCGTTCTGTATCTCTTGTGGATCGAAAGTAGGCTGATCTCCTTGTGACTTTCGTCGTTTCAGAATGATACTACCTGTACACTTGCGAGAAGATTTAGAAACTACATCCCAAAGTGGATGACCCTTCCTGTAAATGAACCCTTCCAAGAGATAAAATTCTCGCAGAGATAAACCCCACATGCACATTTCTTCCTTTAATCGGTAAACGACTGAGTGGGAGTTGTGTCATCAGTATTACTAAGCGGCTGTATCACAATCATGCCAAGTAAAGTTTCTTCCTGGTACCTACTTACTCGAAGGACACGATGAGTATCACATTTCTACTGTGACGTCCTTTTTTTGGACCGTTTTTGGTGAGAATTCAACTACGGACCGCTCATCAGACTTTGTCGTAGCGTAGCACTAGTCTTAGCTGGGCTTCTACATGGAAATGGCAAAACCGTTTTCAGTTTAGGACTCCCTCACGGGTGGAAGAACACTAGATGTACATGACTGTTTGTCACCAAGGAGTACCAATCAGTCAGGATGAAACGGAAAATGGATGAAGGAATTGTACAAATCATATGATTTGGTGCTAAATTAGTGTTAATAGTGATATAATTAATGATGTCATTCTTTAAGAGCAAGGAATTGGCTCGATCCCAGCCAGGGCCAACAAAGCCTCCGAGCCCTCCGGGTTCGAAAAATTGGTACCGGACTTTCCTGAAATCAACTCATTTCACTTAATATAATGTGGAAATGCTGTAGCACAGCTGTCTCGTAATTCCACAGGAAACCAGTTCAGAGGGACTAGTATTGAAGAAAATTCACAAAGTTGACGAAAATCGTTAAGCAGCTGCCGAACCCACGCTCTAAAATTCGAAGACCATCGCTGTTGACGGAAGAGAGTAAATGACTCTTATCGAAATGTGCTAAGATCAGCACAGTAAATGATACCCAGGACCATAAAAAATGGTAGCATTAATAAAGTATGGTGCGTTTAACGCAGTAGTTAGAGGTTCTTTGTGATACACATGCTATGATCGGTTCAATCCACTCCTCTGGTTAACTGAACTGGCCGTTTCTCCGAAGACGGAGAATTGATGCCACATTGTAGAACTCAAATGTGCCTGCAGTCGTCTCTGTGATACTGTGAATGTTGAATGTAGTTGAATGAGATGAGTCGAACGCAAAGCGCATCTCTAGTGGATTCGTCGACTTCAAATGCTTTAGTTTTTTTTGCTAATAACAACAGCGTAAATCGTCCTAAACCCACCTGTTCATCATACAGTTGATGTACTGAGTGCATATAGGTGAAACAAGCGATGACACGCTCTTGGATTGCTGGCGTGACCATTCTAAAATACCGAGGTTCCATTTATGAAAGTTCTACAACAGAAATAGAACATATAGATTTTAAAAAGGGTAAGTGTTATGATAATATTATAGAGTACAATAGGGTGCTATAATAATGGAGTACTTAATGGATGAAATTTTACTAGAACTTGAAAAAAACAAACTCTCGTTGCTGAGGTATTTGCAAAACTCCGGACCGCAAGCGTCTGCGGTAGGGAGCGTACGCGCTATTGTCCTTTCCGGGGAGTAACGTGTTCACCATCACACCATGCGGGTTCTTCGTTTCGCCTGTCTCTCAGCTAGTTCTATCGATCATTGCCATCAGCAATCACCCGTCAGCGGTATTGATTTGGGGAGCCCACATCGGCACTGAACCCAGTTAAGCTGAGGCTATAGTTATAATCACAATCTTAACCTTTTTTTATTTACTGGCTATTCTTTTTAATGGCAGGGTATGTTACTTGTGATTGCTGATGGCAAGTGATGGATAGAACCAGCTGAAAGACAGATGAAACGAAGGACTCGTATAGTGTGGTGGTGTACACGTTACTTCCCGGAAATGACAATAGCACGTTCGTTCCCCACCGCAGACACCTGCGATCCGGAGTTTTGCAAATATCTCAGCAATCTTGTCGTTGTATTTCGCTTAATACCCTGCCATAAAAATTATATAAGGCAGAAAATAAGAAGTAAACAGTGTGAATTAAACTTCCGTTGTCAAAAAATTGAATGTATTGAATGAATGTGGATCGAGTATACTACATATCAGAGAGCAGATTAGCAGTAATGCTCGAAGCTGCAATGGGTGAGAAAAGAATTCGCAGAGCTTATCGAAGCATTGGCATTTGCAAAACCAAGACGATTGCACTCCAGTGCCCAGACAGAACAGTTCCATAAAGGCAATGAAGAGAATCATTTACGATTACTGCTCCGATCTCTTAAATATTCACGTCCACTTTCCGTCACATGAAATAAAGGAGGATGAATATGTTGCACCACCGGTTCTCCCTTCCGAAATCCGACATGCCATTTCGTCGGTGAAAAATCGATCTTCCGCTTGTCTTCATAAATACACTGGCTCGGCTCTTCACTCGTTGCTTGCTTGAATGGAAGAAAAATTATTTACTGCCAACCTTGAGAACGTCATGCGAACATTGGAAAGGGATAACATGGGAGTGAATTCAATAGTCGGCAGTTACATCATCTTCGCTTTGCTGATGACATTGTTCTTATAACACCAAACATTAGGCAAGGAGAACAAATGCTGGCCGAATTTAAAAGGCTTGTGGAAAGATTGGTCTTCGACTAAATCTGACAAAAACATGTTTTTGAGGAATGGAGATTGATTAGGTATGCCTCATTCACGCTCGACGGAATATCTCCGAATGCTGCAGTGACGTCTATCTGGGTCAGGAAATCAACATGATGAACGACTTAGCTCCCGAGATGTGCAGGAGGGTGTTACTGTAAATGATATAGATGAGCGGCTTGGGGATCTTTCAAGAGCATCGAGGACGTACTAAGGAAAACAAAAAACGGCCAACTCCGTGATTACCTTTTCGGCTACACGATTCTTGCTATCTTAACATATACTTTAGAAAGGTGGTCGCCGTGTAAGGAGGATAAAAGATCACTCAGGTTCATTGAACGCGCAGTCGAAAGGACGATGCTATGAGCATCCAGTATCACATAAGTGAAGGAAGGGATGTGAACCTCCAACCTGCGTCAGCAACCAAAAATCAAACATGCTCTTCAAAACTCCAAGCTACCGAAGATAAGGTGGGCAGGCCACGTAATGCGTATAAACGACAACCGACGGACAAAAGCCGCTAGTGACTGGATTCTTCGGGATATCAAATGAACAGCAGGATAACCACACCACCCCGATGATCACAGTTCTTCATGAAGACTCTAGGAGAAGGATATAGGATATGCCGCTCAACGAGTCGCTATAGCGAGCAGAGCCAGAACTCACTGAGCTATGCAAGAGACAGAAAAAGTGGTAGATTTGCTGGGGCCTGCACGTGTCACAGGACGATCAGGGAAACGGCAGGTGATTCAGGTGATACATTATAAAAAATTCAACTGTCGGTGATTTTATTGGTAACAATTTATTAAAAAGAGTGTCGCCTGCAAAGCAAAACGAGCAAAAAGAAACAAAAGATAAGATGAAAAGCGAAGAAAATGGAAAGAAAGAAAGAAAAAATGAAGGAAAGTTGGAAAAAGTACGTGAATTACCGATATTTCATATAGAATTTGATACCATCCATTTTCTGTCGAAAATCATAAACATCCTCGTTCATTTGTGTCACAACACTACCCACACCGCCAATGATGGTGGCGAACACCAACACGCCAATCAATGTATCGATTACCTCCAACATATTCTGTGAAGATGAAGACGGATAGGGCTGAAAAACAGTTCAAATGACCACGCCACAGAATTCCTCCTAACAAAAATGCAAACGTTTCTGGAGGAATGAAAATGAACGTAGATCACTCATCAAGTGATCGATAAGGAAAACAAAGCGAAAAAGTAGGAATAGAAAAAATAAGAAAATAAAAGTGAAATAAATAACTGGGACTTGAAACCAAATACATAAAAACTAAATAGTCAGAACTTATTCAAGTAATTTTTTTTTGATCTTTTATGCACCACATTTAATTGTGATGTCGATGTGCCATTGCTACTTACAACATTCATAAATGGGAAAACACAAATTCTGAGACCTCCTAGTTGATACTTGATACTTGATGAGCTCGTTCAGCAGGAATCTTCCTTCTATGAGAAGTCCCATGGCGCTATAGTTTCTTCATCATATAAACTACCATTATGGAAATGCTTTCAATCATTCACAGAAATGATTTTTAAAAAGATTGTTTCACTTATGACGGAATATCTCATCTGATAAGGAGTAAAAGATTATTCGGAAAAGATCTGACTAGCAAGTGTCTTTCTCTGAGATAGCAAACCTGTTGACCGCATGTGGTGATAGTGAGTGCCGACCAGTAGATGCTCATGCTGTATTCTCGCGAAAAATTCCCCATTTCCCATTTTACAAATCTGAAGCGCAAAGAAAATAGTGGTAAAGAAAAGCGGATCAACCACTTTATAGTCAAGCTGACTGTGGAAGATATCAGATTCATAACTACAAAGCGTATACAATCACTATGATGCTAAAATATCTGCAAAATTTGGGCCTCAGGCCAGAGCGAACCGCGAGCACAGTTTCCAGGGAGTCATGTGATAAGCACGGCACTACTGAGGCCTTTCCTTTACCTTTCTCTCGGCCAGCTTATAAAGTTAACCGTGAAAAAATCGTATCTCGTACATCTCAGTTTTTTTCAAATTAATAATGATGGGGCAAAGCTAGGTACAAATCTGTGCCACGATGATGTAATGCTAAGCCATGGCAAGTGGTGCATTTAGATTTTAGTCTCTTAAGTCATTAAGTAGACATTTCTTAGAAGTTGATTAAAAGGAAATTTATACTAGAGTTGCACACTATCCTGGAAGTTGCAAATCAGCAAACTTCCCTCTCAACTAAAAGGGTAGCGTAAAACATGTGATAGCAAACAAGAAAAACCCTGGCACAGCTATCTTGTCACTTTAGTTAGAAAAATAATTAACAAGCAGTAAAATTCTAGTAAAATAGACGATGACAAGTTATGGTTCGAACCATTTATTAAGATATGTTGTGATAATAAGTAAAGCAAGCAACCAGGGACCACTTGCTTTAGTTGACAGGAACTTATTCGACACTGAATGATCGACCCGATCAACCGGTTAGTTGACAAAGAATAACGTAAACTCACTTCCCCTTCCAAAACTCATACATCTCTTTCATGTAGGAAATACGATAATCGTCAATGTCAAGAAGACTGTAATTTTCCGGGAACTGGCAATTTGGATCGTCAAACACCTAAAATCTTACTTTTTTTTTACCAGTGTTGTGGTGATTCGTAGCATGGAAATGGTAAAGTGAGAACTCGAGTTGGTATAAAGATAATGTTAGACATGAAGTTCTTCGATAATTGCTGATACGGTAAACGCTAATTGTATTACTGTAGATGGAATAAAACTCACCGAACATGTTGGTATTCGTGGATCGAACACCTTATAATACGAGAAGCCAAAAGCATTAGTGTCGTCTTCTAGAGTGATATTAACTTCATTGAGTGTTGAAATAATCAAAAATTAAGGAAAAATCTGGACCAACGATTTTTTTCTTTCATTTTTTCAACCGGATGGTCTGCTGATCATTAGAAAAATTGGGACAAAAACCCACCGGAAATTCCTTCAGCTAAGCTGAAAAGAAAGTATACACAGGCATTCCAATGAAATAAAATATAGCAGGCTGTGATTAACAAGGAGATCTTAAACGCATGTGGGAATGAGGTACGTTTCTGCGCAGTCGTAATATAGTCATTTAGTCGATAAACTGGAAAAAAAAGTCTGTTTTTTATTGAAAAGGGATGTATAAAGCGCTACGCTTAGGAAAATTTACACTAAGGAAGTTAGTTCGACTTTGGTTGACCTGTTTTACATCGCTTCATCCTCGTGCGACGAGTGACCTCTATAGGTGTCATGTTCAAGTTAAGAGTGGCCGGTGCGACGCTCATAGGTTTCATTTTTCTTCCGATACTTTATTTTAACACATTGAACTGTGTTCCTAGAGTTTTTGCGATCAGCTGATAGCCTATTGAACGCAGATGTTGCCGGGAAGTTGTCCATGCGAAAAAATATAGCCGATGAAAAGATCGGGCTGTCACCTACTCCGAAAAAAGCGAAAATATGCGACGTCGTGAGAATGCTCAGTATCAAAACGTTTTTCACTGGTTTTCAACATTTATATCTTAATAGTAGCAGATGGATTAGTTGATACATCATAAGGAATGTCTGACTTAGTTAGTTTTTTTTACAGCTTTTGCCGACAATTTGCTGTCTCATAGTCATGGCTAGAGGTGTTCTTAGATGTTGAGTTGCGATGAACGGTTTAGGACGATTCATCACTCTCACCGGTTACCAAAACTAAGAAATCCGAGATCTATACTTGAAAGCCTGGTCAGGTGCAATTCCTAGAAAAACATGGCAAGCCACCAACACGCTCTATGAGGACAAGTGGTAGTCTATTAGTTGTGGAGAAGCTCCTGTTAAGCCCCTGCCCTCAGCTACATCGAAGCTTCAGAGAAGAATATATCTAACCGAAAAATACTTATCAAATGAAAAAGTCTGAATTTATGCTTGTAAACTTCAATGGCATGCCTACACACCAAATAAATTAAGCCCTTTGTCGACGTACGATCTCAGTGACTTATTAAGAGAAGAGGAATTGCTTCCATCTTTCTGAAAACAATCGTTGAAGATCCCTGGGTAGCTCAAATCTCCTCTCATCAATTCTCTTGGAAGACAATGTTGATCATGGCAGATCTCACTAATTCTGATCGAGGCTTTACAATTTAACTTTTACTCATTCATCGTAACACTTTGAAAAAAAGACAAGATGTTAAGCAAAGGTCTTGTTCTCCTCACCTTTAAGAAGTCGTGCCGATCTCACTAAAGAGATTGACTTGTTAAGAAACAGAACAAAATCAACTGGCATCAATGACGCTAAGTCGAAATATATCCGATAACTGAAAATTACTTTCCCGGGACACGGACTTATAAGGGATGTTACAAAAGTAAGAACGAAAAAAAGAAAAAGGTTAGTGTCAAAGAGACTGGCCTTTTACAGTAGTTCTTAGCTGTCATTCTTACGTTTTTCACTTCACTGCCATCAAATGTGTATGCTGTAAATTTCAGAATAAATTAGAACAAGTGCTCATTGGTGAATAACGTAACCAGTTATAAAGAAAACTTGTCCCACTTCTCTTCCCTATTGCCCTCAGTACTTAATCACCTCACCGGAGTGAGTGGAAATTCCTTGGTGTTGTTGAACTCTGATGAGTAGCAAAGAGTTCATCACTATAGTGTGGTTATAATCATCGAGGCCGAGAAAGCGTTCGGCAACTCCGTATGAAATACCAGCTAAGGGTAAAGCTATGCTATTACTAGCCTACGTATGGGAAAAAATTTAGTGTCAAGGCGAGAAATCCCGGCTGGAAATACAAAGTGGAAAATGGTTGATAGCTGTGGCTTCCACTGATTTGTCCCTTTCATGAATACTGGAGAAAAACATTTTCAACAAGTAAACAAGTGCTCGAACGGAAGTAGTGCTCGGAATTTTATATTTCTCAAAGATTTCCACTGATTTTTCAAACGCCTTAGAAGCACACTGTTAAACAACCGCATTTTTAATTATGATGTGACTAGTTTTCCCCTTGTTTTGAAAGGACAGTTTTATTCCTTGCTTACTTACTTGGATGTCTTGGATGGTCTGTCTTCAGTGGTTGGCAGGTCCGGTATAATTTCCATTCTTCAAAGATTTGCTAGTTTAGCCATTATGCTTCCCTGGAGTCTTGAGGACCGCCTGGCCAAAGTCTGCCCCAGGTCGTCACCAGCGCAGACAGTCGTGGATAAGAGGAGTATTCGCCTCATGCGTGCAACTAATTTGATACCACGACGATGGTGGATCCTGGTATTGGTTCACTCTTAGCTGGGTTTACTGGTGGAAGCGCCGGACTCATTCTCAGCTTGGCAGAGCCTGGCGGGGAATGAATCACGCACCTTTATAACCTTAACAGGAAAACTACGACATCAAATTTTCAACTGCGTTAAATATAAAGCAGTTTCTTCGCACATTCACTGCTCTCTATGCGTGTTTTACTGAGAACTCTACGTGGACACCAACGATTTCATATGGAAGGGTAATGAGCTACCCCCAAGTTAAAATATCAGCCTTAAATACTGCGTGAAATCAAACGTGATAAAGAGGCATTCCTCCCTAAGGTTCAATACTGGATTCTTGGAATTTATCCAAAAATGCTTCAAGAGTTTTGCGCACTGAAGTTTTCGATACACGTGCGAAAATAGTAACTTCTTCTTTAAAATCTTCTCCGCGATATCTCTGTGTCCCATGCGTTCATTGTGGAGCATTTCTTCCAACTCTACGCTTACTGCTTAAGCCTTTACAAGGAAACTGAGTAGCCTACCCGTTGTGCCCGTATATTGGTCTCTGCACGCTTTACAAGAAATTAGGTTCATCGTAAACTCACGATTTCACTGTCTCAACCGTTAGAACATACTACGCAATTTCTCATTGCGCAAAGGCAGTCATAAAGGCGGTTGCGAACTAGCTGATGACTTTTTAAAGTGTTCGGTGGTAATTCAATAAATTCCACCGATTTTTCTAAACCGACCATTCCGAAGCTATGCCCTACAGCTGTGCTTCTTTTTTTGAAAATAAAGGGGAGGATAAAAGGAACTTCTCGCGAGACAAATTACTTGTGCAAAAATGCATAATTCGCGCTGACGGTCACTATCCTCAAACAGGAACCTAAAACTTCTGCACCTAAAACTTTCGAAGCATTCTGGATAAATTTCAATAATCCAAAATTAACCGCAAGGAGAAATACCTCACTATCACACGAGATCTCGCACGACAACATAGGCGGACAATTTAATGTGGGGGTGGTTAATTTCCGTACCATCCAAATTCTGCACGGTTGGGCTTCACTGTGGAATACTCATAAAGACCGATGAATGTGTGAAGGAGCGGCTATACATCTAGAGCGATAGAAAATCATTTTTCTGTTGACATCATGGAGGTGTTTGGCTGAGTAGGCTGCGGTTAACTTGAGCTTTCCAGTCTCCAAAGAAAGCGAAATTCGCCGACACGTCAGCTTTCTGTCAATAAGGAATAAAGTAACATCCTTGTGTATGGTCATCAAGAAAACAGTGAACTCCTTGATTAATGCTGAAGTTAACAGAAAGTCGGCATTCGGAATACAGGAAAAAGATCTTAATCTTCTAACCTTAACATAAGCGAAAAGTGAAGTAGTGATGGACAGCCTGTCATTCGCGAAAAATCGATAATCATGGTCTGTATGAGACAATTCAAGAAATCATGCATTTCGTTATTATTGGCCAACAAAGCGCCCTATTAACACTTCGCTAAGGCTTAGTTCTTGTCTCTGATCTATTCTGAAGTATTCTTCTGGCTACTTTTACAAAGACTTCAACAGATTTTGGATAAAAGGAGAAAAGAAAACATGGAGATATTCCCAAGCAGTGATGGAGAGAGAGCGAGAGAGAAAAAGAGAGAGGAAATCAGGATAGAATGTTGATTCTGGAACATTTTAACTCTCAAACTTCATCTGTGTAAGAAATAAAATCTTATTTCAGAGTTCTCCCATTACCTTATTTGATGAAAGACCTCAAAAACACTTACTTGTTCTGGATTGTATGAGAATATCGAGTAGAAAAATACAATCAAAGAACAAATTTATGTAGAGCCATTGAAAAAAATAGCCAATGCAGACGTCATCAAATATGAAAATCACCATAGCCAACATGTTATACAGTAGACCAAGTGAAACAATACAAGTCCAATAGTAGTAGAACCACCCACTCGGTGACACGTAGAAATATATCAATCGCCTAAAATGAGAATCTTCGTTGGTGAACAGCGAGAAAACACCTAGGAGAAGGCAGTCATTGCAGATCCTTTGTTCTTGTAACGTTTTTTGTTCCGATCGAAGTTTTGTACCAACTTCCACAGTAAATTTTAGGAAGAACAAAATGGATCTGCCGACTTGTTAACGTGATGATAAGGCTTTTGGTGTCCTACGGATACAAAGGAATTGCAGCTGACTGTGATATGAAAAATTCATACTAAGAATGCCAAACATAGGTCATTAAACTGCATATAAAGTGACGCTTCTTGACCAGCATCGGAGCCAAATTCCATAGACCTAACACTTGTAAAGTGACCAGCAGTTTCTATTTTCATAAAAGTATGCTTTGATGCAAAATATGTGTTGTCGTCTGTAATGTTACTACTCTATAAATCTGCTTTAAAACTCTGGTCGTGTAAACTGATAAAAATCCGTAGGAAACGGTATTTCCCATGAGGAAAAGGATTACCTGCTCCAGTGTGCTAGTTTCATTTTCAGAATCTCGAAACCTGTTGTCTCCGTTTCAAATACCGCCTCGGTTTCAGTGATAGTTGGCACAGGTTCCGGCCTTATTGGCTAAAATATACCACTAAATGAACAAAAGAATTCTGATTAGAGAAGGCATTTTCTTTAAAATAATCGTGAAAGAAGATAAGCGACGAGAAACAAATCACTATGAAGTGGAAAAGGTTGAGTTTACTACTTGCCATTCTATCACTACTGAAATCACCAACACGTAAACTTGGTAGCGACGGCTCATTGCAATGGGCTACACTAGATCATATAGGAAGATCTTTATGTGAGATTATTCTACGGCTTGAGATAAGACCGAATGATCCCCAGTTTGCCAGTTTAAATGCAAATCATTTAAGGAGTTATGCATCGCAAATGATTTCTGACTGAATTGCTTATTTTTCGCTTTCTAGTTTCTATTCAAATGGGGCAAGTGTCAAGAATGATAGAAGCAAAAGGTTCGATTTGTTCATCGTCCTTTATGGTTCGGTCGACTGATGGCAGCAATAGCCACCGTGATAGGATTTGTAGCTTTCTTAGATGAATACAAATCCTAAGGAAGCGCATCTCATTTCAAACCACGGATATATATGGCGGCCTAGGAGACCACAAGCCAGGCTATCTCGATATTCCGAGAAAAGCCACTGCCGAGCAGTAACCAACGTACATCAGTGAGAACGGAATTTTGTAGATCTTGAAGTCGTAGCCGAACGCACGCCGAAATTGAACCACCTTCATGGATTACATATGCAAAGCAATGAAATGAGCAAAAGTGCAAGGGTCTTCACAAAATATAGAGTCGTCTACTTGAAGAACTCATAGTGGTAAATTGTAGTAGCACCAAGTAAATATTATAACAGCTTCCACGGTGCTAGTTATTTTTTTAAGGACGCGTGTGGCGCAGTGGTCGGAGGCGTCCTGCAACACACACGTTGAATCGATCCCCACGCCCGTGGCACACCAAGCCTTCCATCCCTCCAGTGTCGCAAATTGGTACCACACTTGTCTAAGAGGATAGCAGCACTGGCTCGATACATAGGTAGGACACCGCGAGTCATTGTGAAGGCCAGCTATGCATTCAATCACCTCCGACCGTACTTTACGAAGTCGAATACATGCGCATCGCTCAGGGTTTGAACAACGCCGAGAGCTTTACCCTTTATCCTTTTAGTTACTTGCCTAGGTTGATAAAAAT